CAAATTTGGCACGCAATAACTTTTCGAATAAAGTCACAGGGTCTTTAACGTCCACTGTGAGTGAAGCGGACGGCAAGTGGTATTCTACGTGTACACACAGCAGTGCAACCAGGACGGCATGCTGGAGGCTGACCGCGAACGTCGACAACAAGCAGTGAACGCTCTACCGTGAGGTCGCGTCACCACTACACATCATGGAAGTCAACTAAAAGTAGTCCGAGCGATCGGTGGTCCAGCAGTCATGAGCTCCCTCCAGCCATCAGTCGCCTTATTGTTCCTCTATCGCCATTACCATGGTTACTGTTTCCCTGTACTTCACTCATTGATTCCTCTACTTATGTGGAGGACTCTGTCTACCAAACTAACTGTTTCGTCTCATCCGTACTGTGATCAACGACTACATTGCAGGTCACAACAATGCACTCAATCACCCACCCACATGCTGACTACCAAAATCACGCACCGTCTGGAACGCGGCCATCATCCCACTGCACTTTCGCGGCATTCAATCTCCACCTCTTTGTCGAGACACTGAGGCGCCACCTCTTCCATAACTAAGCCTGGCTCCTGAGACACGCTGAGCCTGGCCCTGTGCCTCAATCACGGTCACTGGTGCCCGTGAGATCTTGTTGTGCGCGTTATAAGTTGCATCGTAACTAATACGCTTCTCTTTCTGCTTCTACACCCGCACTGCGAAACTTTGCAATTCCCTCCCATCTTCTCTTTCACCCAACTTCTTTAAATATTAACATTGCTGCTCCATTCAGGAAACGTGTTTAAGACTGATCTATTTCGACTTTTATAGTGCTGTTTGTTGCTGGATGCTTGACAATCTGGGCTTTTGGGTCTGTTCTTCGCAACTGTAACACAAATGAAAGTGTAGCACAGCTTGACAGCTCATAGTGGCTGCTGACCGAGAGCAGTTGCCCTCTCTCCCTGCGGGTCGTGGCTGTGTCTCTGCATCCAGAGCGGGTTCTCAGGACCGCTGGCTGTCTCCCTGCGTGGCCCTGTGGGACCCCTGCTGTTTGGGCAGCAATCATTGCTTACCCCAGCTGCTGCTAGAAGTGGCTTTGCCGTGGTTGTCATGGGGACTGTTGCCGTGGCAGCGAGAGGCCTCTTGTTGCATCCACATCTGCACGGAGGCCGGACCCCCCCCCCCCCCCCCCCGTCAGTGTCCACATTGGAAGCCGCAGTTGGGAACGCAGCATTCGTACAATGACGGCTCACGCCGGCGCCGCTTGCTTGCAGCAGAATTAATTTACACTGCATTGGCAGTGGTGCACAAGCACAAATAACAAATCCTCACCACGTTTGTCCAAAACACTTTGACCATTAAAAATATATGTAGAACATTCAACGGTTTAGACAATACCCCTACGATATAGCACACACCTCTGTGCTATGAATATGTGTTCTGGGAAGAAGGGGCTGTTATATATACATCTATACATATATATAAGTGTCTCATCAGCAGTCACGCTTGCCGAATATGACGCTGAATGTTCATACTGATCCAGAATTTGCCTATATTAAACCAATGCTGCATTTCTAGAATGATACGTAGCTGATGGAATTTATACAGAAATACTGTTATGCTTTGTGTTATGCTTTGTGTTGAGGCTCGGATATAGGAAGGATGCAGATTGCACTATTATTCTGTTACTCAACACAATCTGACTTCTTTACATAAACGATGACCAAGTGAATGCATGGTACATGTGTGGTGTGTGTGCTCAACCAGCGTTTATCGCAGTGCGTTTTACGAAGACAGCGATGCCGTGATTTGTATCTCGTGTGGTTAAGAGGACATCGTTCAAATGACTGCGGAGAAGCCGCTCTGACCAAACATTTAATGGGCGTCTTCTTGGTTCTTTCGGTAAAGTCACGTAGAAGGGAAGTAATAAAATAATAAAAATAAAACAAAATAAAATAATTCTCACGACGTTTCGGCCACAACGCAAGCAGCCGTCTTCACCTGAAGACGGCTGCTTGCGTTGTGGCCGAAACGTCGTGAGAATTATTTTATTTTATTATGTTTTATTATTTTATTACTTCCCTTCTACGTGACTTTACCGAAAGAACCAAGAAGATGAATCCCTGCAGTCACGAAAGCTTTAAATCGAAATTTAATGGACGTCTTTGAGCGATGGCGGTGGGGCCGTGTGTGAGATGGGGGTGGGGGCTGTGTGGCCACTTGTGACTGTGGACGATGATGGAGGTGGCTTGTGCAGCCTCGTCGTGGCAGGCGGAGTTGTCTTGTCAGATTCATTGGCGCCGAGTGGGTGGCCCAGCGGCTGATACCGCGCCATGGCAATGAGCAAGCACTGCTCAAGTCCAGGGTTCGAATCCAGGTTTCAGCTGCCCGCGATTAAACAAAGTGCTGTGCGGAGGTCCTGATATGTTGCTGTTTGTGTGTTGCTGTTCTCTGTGCACCTTCATAGGCGCTCACCAACAGCACTTGCCCCAACAGTTTGTTAAGGCTATACGGGGGATCTTTTGTGTGTTTGTGTTGCTGTGTGTGTGTTTGCCCAGCGCCATGCGGATTTTAATGAGTGTGACTGGGTGGAGATGATCGGCATCGCTGCTCTGGGGGGGGAGGGGTTGTATTTCTGCCTGAAGGCCCCTCGGGGAGATAGTGAGGTTGGGAGTGGGTATAGGAGGGGGGGTAGGGAAGGTGGTGTGGAAGTGGGTACAGGGTAGGGGAGTGGCTTGGGGAAGGGGGTCGGGGAGGGTTACTTTGGATTCTCATGATGGATGTAACATTCACTCCCCACCAACAACCGCCAGTGGATTTGATTGGGGGTTCCACACTAAAGAAGATCATGACGACTTTGTCATCCCTTCCCTGTCTCTGACGACGAGGAGTCTGCATCCATAACTTTCCTCCCCTTTCTCATCTTCCAAGTGCCCATGGAGGCGTTGGGAGTGACAACGATTTTAATGAGTTTGAAGATTGTCTACATTTGCCGTTTAAAATTTTAATCTATTTTCCATGTAGCAGTGAAAATGAGGGGTCTCCCCCGCCCCGCCAGGCACTGCGTGCGAGTGGATATTGCCCCGAGGGGCGCGGTGCGGTTATTGCGGCGCGCGGACGCGATATTAAAAGCCCCCGGGCTCCGCTCCTTATTAACATTTAGCACGCGTCCTCCATTATTGTGGGGCTGCTGCTACATCACGGCGCGGTTATCAGCGTGCTTCCCACTCGCTTCTTAAATGCTTCTCGAGCGTTGCCCTGTTGGCGTGGCCTGTGAGTAGCGACGCGGCCCAGCGGCAGCGCCTTTGCCACTTGTAACGCAGGTTTGTGGTTTGAATCCAGCAGGCTGCCGTGGTTATTACTTCGGAGCTTGTGAACCGTAAATAATCTGGGCAGTCTGCGCCACTCACAGTGGATGTTAAAGATTCCATGACGTCATTCGGAGAAGAGCAGTCCCGCCATTGTGCGCCGGTGTCATGGTCCAAATTTGTCCACATTTGCAAAAATGACACCGCTAATTATGAAACGGTGATTGTCATCCCTCGACTGTGCAAACGTAGCAGGACCCTCCTGAAAACGTATCAGGACTCGGTGAGGCTTTCCTGAGTAAACAAGTGGGAGTTCCGCTGTGTTGATCATAGTCAGGTTGATTTGTTTAAGAATGCGTTACACGCACAACATCACTTCTCATCTCGAACATCTGGAAGGGTGCCCCTAGTAGCAGCCGTTCCAGTGTGGCTGCAAGTAGGCAATGATATGGAGTAATTTTTAGCACTTTGCAAATTTAGACAATGATGTTGATACACAGTGGTCTTCTTGTTTCGAATGACATCACTGCGAAGCAAACGTTGCATAGTGATCTTTATGGTTCATACACCTGCAGTAATAACCAGGGCAGCCTGTCGGATTTGAGCTGCAAACCTCTGCTTAATTAGCGAACGCTGGTCCATGTCACCACCCCAATGACGCCTCGTGTGGTGGTGGCCTTGGGTAGAGGCCTTGTGTAGCCACCGCTGTTTGTGGAGTGAGAGGCTGCATGGCATCCTCACTGCACAGTGGCAGCGTTGTGTACCCAAACGGGGGTGGCAAATGGACAATTTGCCCCACACTGGCCTGGTTTTTTGTTGTTGTCAGCGATACATAACATGTCTCTACACGACATACGGGCCTTCAGGAACCTCTGGGTGGCCCTGGTGGCACCAGCACCGCTCCCCTTGTGGACTTGATCCCACTTAGGAGCGATGTGCCGATTGGGAGAACGTGGTCGATGTCTGAATGGGGTTGCTGGGCGAGAGTGTGTAGCAGCGGCTTTGTGGGAACGAGTGGCGATGCTCAGGCTCCACCTCACTTGCGGCGCCTCCTGTATCTGTGCAGCTGAGACTGCTATTTGGGTGCCGTGTTAGTTGAGTGGGTGCTGTCACTGTGCAGTCTGAGTATAGTGTGAGAGTTGAGTGGGTGGCGTGTTTGTGCTGTGGTGGTGCTGTCTTGGTGCTGTGTGGAAACTGCATGGTTTGTCGCTCCATACAAAGTTCCAACCACAGTTTTACCCTCCCTTGTCTGATCTTGCGAAATCAGAACCCCCTTACAAGAACACTTGCACCAGCTTGAAAAATTCAAGCTGGCCTGCCTTCACGTGTACTTAGCCTGGCACAAGTACGGTGGTGTTTTCACCACCACTTAGTGGTAAATGGTGGTTGCTATGTAAGCACGCCCGCGTGTCAGTGTGCATCGCTGGACGGACACACGTACATGAGGAGCAATCGTGTCAAGGTTAGCGCGCTATACTGTGAACCTGGTAACCTCAGTTCGATTCCCACGCGGTGACAAATCTCTAAATTTATCCTGGGCCTCTCCTGGGTCCATTCGGTCTTAAAATCAGTCCCTAGTGCGGTGTATGAACATAGATAGGGAGACAAAGGCACTCGGGCGTGGTACTGAAAATAAAAACATTCTGATGGGTGCTCGCTAACAGGACTTGCTGCAACAGTCTGTTCAGGATATTGGGGGGATTTTTGTCTTTGTACAGCCACAGATGAAGCGACGATCCGTAGGTACTTCGCGAAAGTGGAGGAAAAGTTTTTCCAGACATGCGAGAAGGAGCTGTCCAAGATCAACACCTTCTACTCTGGTGAGTTGCAATACGTGCATGGTTTGTGAGTGTTTGTGTCTGTGATGTGCATGTCTTTGTCTTTGTGTAGTTTTGGGGAGTGGTAGTGAAGAGGTCCGCACGCTGCACTATGAAGCCGTCGACCCAAGTTTGATTCCCCCTCAAGGCCAACACCAGTAACGAATATCTGAACCGGTCCTGGGCCTCCCCTAGGTCGACTCGTCCTCAAATTAGTACCTGATGTGGTTTGTAAACATTGCCACTGCGGAGACAAAAGCGGCAGGGTGTAGCATTGGCCACCCACACCCTCGTGTGCCGTGCTGGCCTTCATAGGTGCTTGCTAACAACATTTGCCCCAACAGTCTGTTAAGGCTATAAGGGGGATCTTTTTTTGTGTGTGTACGTCATATTTGTTGTTTGTGTAGTGTTAGTTGTGTGGTGTGCTGTGTCCTGGACTGTTGTACTGTGTGTGTAGTGTGCGTATGCTTGTCTGTTGTTTGTGTGTGCGACGCACGCGATGTGCATCGTGAGCGAGGATCTGTGCTGCTGATGAACGCGCTGCTGCGATGGAGGTGGCTTGGGTGCAGTGGTGGCCCCTATCGGTCTTGGACTGCAATGCTTCTGCTGCAGATCCTTATCCTTGAGCTGTACATAAGTTCATGCGTGTGCGCATGGGGCATTTGATGCCAAGGGGGTGCAGATGAGATCAAAGGGGTGCTTGAGAGATCAAGGGAGTGCAGGTGAGATCATGGGGGGTACAGGTGAAATCAAGGGGTGCATTTGAGATTATGGGGGGAGTACAGGTGAGGTCAAGGATGATCAGGCAAGATCAAGGGGTGCAGATCAAAGGAAAGCAGGGATTATCAATGGAGTGCACTTGAGATCAAGGGGTATCTAAATGTGTACACATGTTTGTGTTTATAGTTACACCTACGTGCCTGTACCTGCATCTGTACACATGCGTGTGTGCCTGTACTTACGTGTGTACACCTACTTGTGCGCATGTATCTTCGTGTGTACACCTGCGTTTGTGCTTGTACCTGCGTGTGTATACTTGCGTGTATGCGTGTGCCTGTGGGTATACACCTGCTTGTGTGCGCGTGTACTTGCATGTGTACACTTCTTATGTGCCTGCGTGTGTGTGTCCTCAGAGAAGCTGGCCGAGGCTCAGCGCGGCTTCTCCACACTGCAGGGGGAGCTGCAGTCTTCTCTGGAGGCCCAAAGGGAGGGGCCCCTGGCCCCCACACCACCCCCGCTGCTCCGCCGCCGCAAGAACGTGTTTGTGTCGCACGAAGGAGCGCGTGCAGCACCGCAACTTGCGCGACCTCAAGCTGGCCTTCAGCGAGTTCTACCTGAGCCTCATCCTGCTGCAGAATTACCAGGTCTCCCGCCACCACCAGACAAAGATCCCCCCCTATAGCCTTAACAGACTTTTGTTAGCGGGCACAGCACACGAGGGGTGGGTGGCCTGCACTTCATGGAAATGTTTGCACACTTCACCAGGTACTTGTTTGAGGCCGAGTCGACCTAGGAGAGGCCCATGACAGGTTAAGATAATTGTTGCTTGTGTTGGCTGTGAGTGAGAATCGAATTCGTGTCTTCAGGTTGGTAGCGCATCACGCGAACCGCTACACCACCGACACCACTATTTTCGTACCCTACGTCGCCACTCCCACCAGCTGTCCCCACGCCGAACTACCCACTGCTGTGCGCGCACACTCCCCCCCTTCAACATCCCCCACCACGAGCCTATGTGTGGCACGCCTCAAGAATTGTTACCCTTGAGACTCACGGTTTTTCATTACTTTTGTTGTTTATCTGAAATACACGATATCCCACTGGTAGCTGCTGTCGATGCTTCAGGTATCGTGTAAGGGTCAGATCCAAAAGTTGCGTCTTTACTTACAGCCTTTCTATGAGAAACACTCTGGAAACTCATCACAACTAACTCGGGTCATTATTATGATTTCATTTACTATTGGGGGTGTTCACTAAGTGGTGGACATAAGCCTATTGATGTTACCCTCGTTTTAGTTACCTCTTCCCCGCCCTTTTCTCCAAATGGACTCCCCCATGTGACGGTTTTTTGTCTGTGCCTCGGTTTTTAGGGATTTTTCCAAGGGTTTTCAGATGTCCCATTGATTTGAACCCTTTGGAGTTGATGTGTATGCTACCCACTCATGCTGTCGCTCTCAAATCAACTCTTGGCTTGGTACTATCGGATGATTGTCACTTTGGTTACAACTTGTATCCTCACAATGACGTGAATGATTATTATGCGTTGTGTATTCTAGAGTTTTGCATTGAACTAGGACCCATAACTAACAGAGGAGGGTCCTTGCCTATAAACATCTGGCAGTTCACCAACATTCGGTCAAGCAAGCCTGACTGCTGATGAGACATTAAATGTGGAAACCGGCCCAGAGTTTGTGTTGAACCAATGTTGCTGAAATTATGCACTCTCAGTAGGCTGTGTGGCTGAAAGGATGTGTAATTGATTTTTTTATGTGGAGAGACATGGGAAGGAGCTTGTTGTTTGTTCAGATATATTATGAACAGTTTAGATAACTGACATAAGTCGAGTAAGGTTTGGTTGAACAGGAGGCTCATGTAATAAGACTTTACAAGTGAAATCTAACGGTGCAAATGATTCCCGTAGGTGGCGCGGCTTGACCCTGCAACTTTGTAGCACGGGTTTGTGATGTGAGGGTCAGCCACGTTCTTTCCGCTGTGCTACGCTCTGCACCAGAACCTGAACTTCACCGGGTTTCGCAAGATCCTGAAGAAACACGACAAGATCCTGGAGACGAAGCGAGGGGTGAGCTGGCGCGTCGCGCACGTGGAGACGGCACCATTCTTCATCAGCAAGAAGATCGACCAACTCATCCTGGAGACCGAGGTACAGAGAGGAGACACGGTGACGGCAAGGCTGGGCATTCGCTAGACTGCAGTGATGTCGCCCTGCTTGGCCACACCACCAGGCCATGGCCGCTCCTTTTGTTGTCCTTCCCCCGCACCTCCGATTAGCACGGATGGTTACGTACGGTGCGAAAGAAGGTCTATACATACATACATCAGCCCGTCATCGGGTTACAACAACCCTTCTACCCGGCTCCACCACACGTAGTGCCCACCACAGCAGCTGTCACCTCATGGCGTGTGGTCTCCTCGCCCGCAGAACGTCTTCACCAATGAGCTGGAAGCTGGAGACCGGCAGAAGGCGATGAAGCGTTTGCGAGTTCCCCCGCTCGGAGCCGCCCAGGTGAACCGCAGGCAGCTTTTGTGCTCACCTGTGTGCACATCGCTCGCCTTTCACCCGCACCTCCTGAATGCCTCGCTAGGGGAGAGCTCTCCTGCTCTTCCTGCTTTCTTGTTTAGCGATGCCTGGCATCGGCTTTCTGCAGAACGTGGTGCCACGCGCGGCGTACTCGCTGTTCTTACACTTTTCTCATTTCAGGATTACGAAGTCAACTGGGTTGTGGTTGCGTGCCGCTGTGTATTGACATTTGCACTTACGTGTATTTTGTATGCATGCGTGTGTTCACGTGTGCGTGTGCCCATGTGTACACGCGTTTGTGTTTTGTTTCTATGCGCGTGTCCGCGTGTGTGCTTGGGTTTTTATCTGCATGCGTATGTCTGTGCTTGTGCGTATGTTGTATGCATCTGTTTGTCTGTGGGTGTCAATTCTTGCATGTGTTTTTATCTTTGCATGCGTGCGCGTGTGTGCTTGCACGTGGGACCCACAGCCCTCCCCAGTGTGGACCACGTTTAGAGTGGGCCTGTTCTGTGGCGTCTTTCTCGTGCTTGTGGTCACCGTGTCGCTGGCAGGTAACGGCCGCTCAGAAACTCACTCCACTAACTCCACCCTCTGGTGTTCCTCTGCTCCTAGCCTCCTCTCCTTCCACATTCCACCTCACCGTTTCCTTTCCTCCCCCTTGTCACCCTGCCCTGTAACACCCGCACCCCCACTCTAGAACATCCCCTCGGACGTGATATTCCGAGTCGGAGCTTACTTTGGAATCATCATTGTCCTTTTCCCTCTTGCCTCCTTCGCCTTGTCAGGTAGCGAGTGTGTTTTGCCCCCCACTCCTCTGCCCTGCCCCCCCACTCCAACCCCCTCTTCCTGCTTGATTATTCCTACTATGTATTCCTGTGCGAGTCATGCTCATACGTAACCCCCAGTGCACTTCCATGAACACCGCTGTTTTCTATTGGCGAGATATTTGACTTTGCACATTCACTGCAGATTTTCTTGAAATGCACATAGCTGATTGTGATCATGGCGGAGGAGGCACAGTATCTCCCTCTCTGCGTGTGTCCGTGCCCTTGTCTCCTCACCTTTGTGTTTGTCCCTCCGTATCGCTGCGTGTCTGTTCCCCTGCGTCTCTGTGTGCGCATGTCTCTGCACGTGCGTGCGTTTGTCTTCCCGTGTGTCCGCGTGTGCGCGTCCATCCGCGCCTCTGCGATGCGTTTGTGTCTCTGCGTGCGTGTCCCCGTGTGTCCCTGCGTATCGTCTCCACGCGCGTACCCGCGCAGCGGCCTACGTGCTGGGCTCGGTCCAAGACGTGTGGCCCATGGTGCGCATCTACCGCGGCGGCTTCCTGCTCATCCAGTTCCTCTTCCTGCTCGGCATCAACACGTACGGCTGGCGGCAGGCCGGCGTCAACCACGTGCTCATCTTCGAGCTGGACCCTCGCAACAACCTCTCCCACCAGCATCTGTTTGAGGTAGCAGCACGGTGCTCTCGCCGCTCCCCGCTCCCGGTGAGCACGTCGGGGTCGGCTGCCGATTCCGTGCTGTGACTTTTTATTCACGGAATCGGTCCTCCTGTTCAGGCTACATGTGGAATCCTTGTGTTTGTGTGTGTGTGCAGGTAGCCGGGTTCCTGGGAGTGCTGTGGTGCCTCTCCCTGCTGGCGTGCGTGTTTGGGTCGTACCTCCCTGTGCCCGTGCAGGCCTACCCCTTGGCGCTGTATATCTTCATCCTTCTCTTTCTGCTTAATCCCACCAAGACCTGCTACTACAAGTCACGCGTCTGGCTCCTCCGGCTGCTGGTACGTGCATCTACTTGCTCGCTCACTCGCAACATCTACCCACTGAGTGATGATTGCTTGTGCCAGGTTAGGTGCACTTTTGGGTCATGAGATGGACTCGGTTGTTTTGGGTTGATCGACTGAGATGACTGGTAGAGGCACCACCCGTTCTGCCCACTCACTCTGACAGACACTCACCCATTTACCAGGCTGGTTTAATCCAGTATGAATTGTAGTCAGGCCATAGTTATAGCTGCAAGCTGGCACAGCCATTCCTTTCAAGGGGCATCGCTTCGCAAGCATTATGCGCACGTCCTCTTACGGTTGCCTGTCAATGCCTCTGCTGTTCCTGCGCATCTCCACTCCCCACCCCCCCTCCCCAAGTTGCGCGTGTTCACAGCCCCATTCCACAAGGTTGGCTTCGCTGATTTCTGGTTGGCCGACCAGCTCAATAGCCTCGTGGGCATCCTCATGGACCTGGAGTACATGCTGTGCTTCTACGCCTACGAGCTCGACTGGACCAACCTCAGAGGCCTCTGGTACCCAAAAGGTCAGCGCGGCTTTATCCTGCTTCCTTGGCCCTCCCGGCCCAGCGTGCAGTCGCGGTTCTTGGTGCACTATGTCACTGACGCTGGGTGCACTATGTCACTGACGCTGGGTGCACTATGTCACTGACGCTGGCGGCACTGCTGCTACATGCGGGTGTGTGTGTGTGTCACTGGTGCTACTTCTTCAGAGTGCTGGGGTGGTTAGTGAAATTACATGTTGCACGTGCGTGGATAGTGCGTGTTGCATGTATTTATTACACGCGCTCATGTATTGTGTGTGGTTATGTGTGCGCGTGTTTTGTTTGTGCATATCATGCATTACGTGTGTGTGTTGTGCGCATATGTATTGTGTTACACGCGTATGTGTGTATTGTGTTCGCTAAACGGGCGCGGCACGGGCTAGAGAAGAGATGGAGTGATGTGGTACAGGAGGACGTGGAGCTGAGTGGACTTGCCGATGACTGGTACCAGCGGTGTCAAGATCGGCCTCTGTGGAGGAGGCTCGTGAAGGACGCTACTGGGCAGTTGGAGGCAGTCGCCCTCCAACAACAACAGAGGGCGGAGGAGCGACGCTCACAACAACGAGCGGAACGCCGGGTGGCTAAAGCACAGCGAGTTGGCACAGTAGGGGGCACAGGTGGTGCATCAGCCAGTCGTCTCGGTCATCTCAGTCAGTCGACCCGTGGCACCTGCTGGGTCTGCCCCGTGACCTCCTTGCCAGCGGGCGTTCGACACTTCATGTGGCCTCAAGGTGCACATGGCCTGGCACAAGCGTCGTGGTCATGTCACTGCTACACCGCTACTTAGTGGCGAATGGCGGTTGTTGTTGTTGCGTTCGTGTGCTGTGTAGAAGGGGACCGCGTGTGCAACTCGTATGCATACGGCGTGCGCGCCGTGATCCAATGCCTGCCGGCGTGGATCCGATTTGCGCAGTGCCTGCGCCGCTACCGCGACAGCAAACGAGCATTCCCACACCTCGTTAATGCCGGCAAATATTCCACTACCTTCTTCGTGGTCATCTTTGCAGCACTCTACAACCTCGGCAAACGTGAGTGCTGCCTATCTCCTCTCTCTTCCACCTCCTCCTCCTACTTTACAAAGTCTGAACAGAAGATGCTGGTCAGGTGACTTGGCGACAGAGTGGCTCTGCAGGGCTGCGTACAGGAGATGAGACGCACCACCTCGATTCTTATTGGAGTTGGAAGTCACTCTGAGTTTGTGATATGATACCATTTTTGGAGAGCAGAGTGACTGTGTTGGGCAAATAGAGGCCTGAACCCGTATGTGAGAGTGACGACGTTGGCTCGAGGCCGGCGGAAGTGCGAGTCACGGTGCGGCACCCCCCCCCCCCCCCCGCTCTGTGCGACGCAGTGGGCGGGGAGAGCTCCTCGGCGTTCGAGGTGCGCGTCTACTTCTACTTGTGGGTGGTGGCGTCGCTCGTGAGCACCTGTTACACGCTCACCTGGGACCTGAAGATGGACTGGGGCTTGTTTGACCGCAACGCCGGAGAGAACTCGTTCCTGCGCGAGGAGATCGTCTACCCACAGAAGGTGGGGGCGCTGCCGCTGGGCGTGTGCGTTCCTGTACATGCGCGTGCCTCACAGCAAGAAGACCCGGGTTCATTTTCTAACTCTGGTGCCTGTGTGGAGTTTATTTTCCCCCTGTTCTGTGTGTGTACGTATCTGCGTGCGTTTGTGGCGTTTGTGGGGAATGGTGGCGCAGCGATTCGCGTGCCGCAGTACGAACCGAGCGACCCGAGTTCAATTTCCGCTCACGACCAACACCAGTGACGATTATCCGAAGCAGACCTGGGCCGCCTCCCCTCGGTTGACTTGCCCTCAAACGAGTTACCTGCTGTAGTGTCTTAACATCGCCACGTAGGAGACTACGGTGGCCGGGGTGTGGTGATGGCCACACCACCCCATTCGTATGCCATTTTAGCTTTCATCGGTGCTCACAAACAGCATTTGCCCCAACAGCCTGTGAAGGTTAAGCAGGGAATATTCGACTTTGTGCGTGTGCGGTGCGCGTGCGGTGGCGACGGGCAGGCCTACTACTACCTGGCCATCGTGCAGGACGTGCTGCTGCGCTTCTCCTGGGTGCTCTACATCTTCATCCCGGATATGGGCTTCTCCTACATGGGCGACCTGCTCTCGACACTCATGGCCCCCATGGAAGTTTTCAGGTGTGCATGGGAGCCCGGCGGCCAGCCTCACCGTCGCAACCATCAGTGTCGTCCGATCCATGTCTCATCAATTATTGATTAGCGATGTCTCATTAATCGTACCTTCTCTGCAGTCTGATCAATGACTTATCCATGTCAACTTGGTGTCTGATCAGTGATCATTGCATTCTACACACTCGGTGTTGGAGTTACTTGGCTTGTTTTTGGGCTCATGCCTGTTCCTGGCTACGTCTGTACACGTGGTTTTGTGTAAATGTACATTTGTGTACTCGTGCAGATTTGCATGTACGCACCTTGTAGTACATGTAAATCTGCGGTATTGCGTGTTGTGCCACACGTGCATTGCACAGGAGCTGCGTGCGTGTGCGTGTACGTCCGTGTACGGGCGTGTGTGAATGCACCAGGCGCTTCGTGTGGAACTTCTTCCGGCTGGAGAACGAGCACCTGAATAACTGTGGAGAGTTCCGTGCCGTCCGGGACATCTCGGTGGCACCGCTCAATGCCGACGACCAGACACTGCTGGAAGCCATGATGGACTCCGAGGATGGGGTCCGCAACCGGCGCGGCAAGCGCAGCAACTGGCAAACGCAACTACAGCTTCTCACTGCGACGCAACCGGTTTGTGCTGCGACTTCTCGCCGCCTGCATTAATCACTAACTCGGTCTCCCTTCAAAAACCTGCAGATGTTCATTATCTTGCATGTATCTTTGGAGTTGGCATCTTCTCCCCGTGGTCGTGTGCATTTTTCTCCGGGTCCTCCACATTTAGAAACATGCGTTTAAAGTATTTGGCTGCTTTAAATGTCCACATGATAAGCCACTTCGTTGAGCTATCATTTGTGGCCAGGTCGCTTCTGAAAACGAGCTATATAGCTCAGTGGGTTTTGGCTGGTAAAATGTAAAGTTTTAGTTTAGTGTAGTTTGGAATGTCGGTGTGTATAGATTTGATGCATACCTCCATCATGTACGAGTCGTAACCTCAAAGAGGTCTGAGATGGATTCATTACCTAGAATCACTGCTTGCATAACCATCATGCAGCAGGCGAAGAATGGTGACAAATTTCAGTGGACATCCATACGTTTGAAGGATCCTCCAGTCCTTCTTGGTTGACAGAATCAAAGGCTTTCTTGATGTATTTGTGTTTTCGAGTGTGTGCCTGTGTGTGTCTAAGAGAGTAGAGAATGGTCGTTAGCACACTAAGTGATAAACCCAACAATATCGGTTGACAAATATCTGAACAGGTCCTGGGCCTCGCCAAAGTTGACTCCGTCTCAAATGAGTACCGCTGCGGTGTGGAAACATCACCACTGGCGAGACATGCAGTTGGGCGTGGTGCTGGCCACACCACCCCCGCGTACGCCATGTCAGCCTTCATATCGAGCCTTCCGCACTTAACGTTACAGCCTCGGAGTGCACCGATCTTGGCACGAATGGCATGGTTACGTCACCGCCACTTAGTGGCGTATCGCGGTGGTGGTTGTCGTGTTTGTGAATGCGCGTTGTGTTTGTGCGCGTCTTGTACCTGTTCTGCTCTTCTGGCCTCAGGGTGAAGAACAAGGACACGAAGGTTCTCATCGACGACACGGACGACGAGACGCTCAACACGTAAGCGCCGTCGCCCCAGGCGGCACTGGCAGCCCCCGAGTATGGCTCCCCACTGACTTTGTTTTGAGTTTTTTTTGCATTTCATGAGCGACTGTGGACATTTTTTATTTCGCAAAAACTTTTTGAGAATAATTAATATCACCCACGAAGAGTTCATCTCAGCAGGCAAGAGGTCCCCGGGGAGGGCCGTGCTGCCAGGTGCCAGCTCCAGTGCAGAAGCTGCCACTGTCGACCACCCTCCCGCTGCTCGCACTCATCACTCTCCCTTCTCTACACTCACGTTCCTTCCAACTCGCCATCGCTTTCGCACATTAATGGGCAGCGCAATTCTTCTCCCCCCACCTCGCTCATGAGCCCCCCCCCCGCCACCCTCGGGAGTTGTCGGCAGAAGCCTGCACTCGCGCACGGGAACGCGCCTCCTCTCACTGAGCATTGAACTCAACTTTACTCACGTTTTGTCCAAATTCTATCCCTGTATGCGAATTTACGCGACTGCGCTTTCTCTCGGAGTGCCGTAGCTTTTTGAAATTTTTATATAAAAAAATTGCCGCACGTGAGCAGTTATAACCAGATCCTGTGACAGTAAGTCGTGACTGGAATCTCAAATCTCGAGCTTGCAGCTTACGGACGTTTGTCTCGGTTTCCTTGGTTATACCTAGACGCCCCGTCGATGGCAAAGCTGAGCTGACCCCCCGTCTCACTCTGCCAATGACACACTCAGGGCTCAAAGGTGCTTGCGAGCTTTCCAGTGACGCGTGGGGCCCGAGCCCTCTCGACGGGGGGAATCGTGGGCTCTGCTGTTGGTGGCAGCGCGCAGAGACGCGGGGTGCCACAGAGGCAAGTCCGCCCCTTGGTGGTCACGGGGTGGAAATGTAATGAGGGCTCCTGTGAAGGGTCGCCACCTGTCCGGGTTTGAGCCGAACAGTCGGCATTTGGCATCTGCGTGCAGGTGGCAGGAACTGATTTAGTACCGGCATCGCGTTGAACTTTATAACAGTTTACTGCAGTTTTGATAAACCTATGCGGACTGAGAAATATGTCCGGGTTTGGTCTCTGGAAAAGGTGGCGACTACTCCTGGGCCTCCAAGGCATTGGAGCTCAGGTCACACGTGACCTTTTCACTTCATCCGTATATTTTTTATGCATCGTTTGTCTGTGGGGTTTTGGAGCAGGCTGTGACCAGTTTTTGGCAAATTGGCCAGAGACTTTAATCACAGGGGCAGTTGTGCTCCACAAATGGTGCAAGAATCTTTTTGCCATTTAGTGAATGTGAGGTTGTGTGTCGCTCTGTATGTTACACGATTAGAGGTGGCCCCACACCAGGACCATGGTCGCCAGGTTCGTGGAGACCCCTCAATTCTCACCCTAGCGACCTGTATTTCCTCCTCACAGCAGTATATTGAACTTCTTTCGCACCGTACAAACTGCTAATCGTTAGAGTAGCACGGTCTTGCATCCATGCAAACCCCAAGCACTAAGCAATGCATCTGTGCTCTTATAGAATTCAGTATAGTGCCGTCGACCTCTTTTAAACGTAGGTTCAAGTCTGGATGTAGCTATGGATGTACTACTAGATTTCATATCGAGGTGTCAACTGCTGTCCCCGTATCCACTGGTGGTGCTGTTTGACCCAATGTCTCCAGGTCCCCCTGAATTCCCATAATCTCTGGGTGGCCATGGACAGTGGAGGCTTTGAGCTTATTGGGCTTGGGGCCCCAATTGAACCCCCATCAGTGGGTTTGAGGCAGTTTTATTGCAGAAGAAGCTTTTGTAGCACTTGTTAAACAACAATCGTTCGGTGTTGCTTTTAATGCCATAACTAGCATTTACTCCTTCCTGGGATGTTTTCAAACGTAACCAAAATCTTCTTATGTCGGTCAGGTTTGATTTCAGGGCAGAGAGAATCTTACAATTGCACGCTGCATTCGTGCCCTTAGCCAGCCTTAATGAACACAGGCGATTGCAGAGACGTCGCACAGCGTGCAGGAGGAAGATCAGTGTTTGCCCCCCCCCCCCCCCCAAGCCCAAGTGGCTGTAGCTGGAAGGCGGAGCTGGTGGTGTTGGTGTCTGTGCTGTTGTAAACTTGCTTGTGTAGGTAGGTGGTTTCTCTGGGCTCTCCTAGTGGATTGCGATTGGCTGTGCAGTTAATGTCCCGTGCGCTGTCCTGTGCTAGTTGTCTGTGATTTTCAAAACGGATTCTTGGAAGAGACGCAATGGCGGTCCTTCCCTTCCAAGCCCAACCCCTGCATGCTGCGTCATTGCGCTGTCCTTCTCATGGGCAGGGTACTTGTGGATGGTGTCGTGTTTGTTGTGTGAAGTTGGAGGTAAAACAAAACAGAGGCAGTTTTTGCCTTCAATCAAACTTTATTTACTGTTGTATGTCTTAATTTATTTACAAAATGGTTTAATAATGCAAATTAGTAGTTGTGAAAATAAATTAGTGTATAAAATTCTGCCTTTGTCTTACAGATGCTACTAAATCAAAATACACAAAAGTTTGCCACCGCTGGGTTTTTGACCGCGTAACTTGTAAAGCAGCAGCACAGTCACTGCTGCTGTCTGGAGTCGAAGCAGCAACGCCCCAGAGCGAGCGGCGTCTACTTGAGAGCCACTCAAGGCAGCAACAACACAGCCACCGGCAGGCGCCTCATGGAGTCGCCAAGCACGTTTGGGTTGTTGGGCACCGTCACATTGCTTCCCCTGCGATGCCAATTTGGTCGTCCAAGGTTTTTCATAAATCTAAACCTCTTAGCAGTGCAATTTACCACTTGCATCATATAAAAGCCACACTCCTGACAAAAGACTTGGGATTCTGTTTTTTGCACATAAGCCCCGATGTGGTGATATGGAAACAGAAAGAAGCAAGACAACTCCTTGTCCTGGAAGGCCGACCAATCTCCACTTTCTTCCGCTCAATAAAAGGTCCGAGTTTCAGAGGCTGCGCGGGCGGTGACATTCTTGCCGCGTGGCTCACACGTGTCCATGTGCTTCTTCAAAAACTGAACAGACCTGTACCGCGGTCGAGACTCTCTCACGATGTAAACCGATCCTAAAGCACACGCACACTACAACGTACACACTAACAGTCTCGATGCCGGACGAGTTCTTATTTTGCTCACACGATCTCTCGCTCGCCCCGTCCACGTGCTGTTTACACGGCCCCCACCTAAAATCACAAAAAAAATCTACGTAAAAAGCGTTGCCTACGCTGCGCAGGCCTCTCGCGGCGTTGTTGCGCAGGGGGGTGGGGGGGGGGGGGGAAGAGGATGCCCCCCTCCTCCCCAGCACCGCCGCCCTTCTCAGTGCTGTCCCTCATAGCCGCCGCTCGTCAAGTTCCCCCTGGCCTCGTCCCCCGAGCTCTCGTACGAGTGCACGGCCGGGTCGGAGCCGTCGTATGACGACGCGTGGTCAGGGAGGCCGCCCCCCCCAACCACTGCCGAGTGCTCCAGGGCCCCCCCGGCGCCACCACCCTGGTCCGGCGGCTCGGCCTCCCCATCCGGGCCCTCGTAGCAGCCCTGCAGGTCGGGCAGGAGGCCGTGGTACATGATGTCTCTCTCAGGCAGCGCCGAGTGCAGCCAGCGCTTGCGCACGCGGCGCGCGTTGGTGCACATGTCGGCCGCGATCACGTTCATCTCGCTCTCGCGGAAGTTGGGGGCGAACTTCTGGCAGTAAACTGAGGAGGCAGCGACACGGGCGGGCTCTTCGTGAGAAAACTACAACAGCACTTGACTTGGAGCAGATGATAACTCACAGCACCGCAGGAACATCAGACATGGATTTGGTGGAGACGAAGGCTGAGGCAACTGATATGAGAAAAGGCGGATGCTGCCAGCGACATAAGTGGTGTGGGCTGAGGTGACGCAAATCAGGTCGTGGTATTAATTAACTTAGGACGTATTTGCGAAATGATGCAAAAGGGGGAGACGTAATTTGTGGCATTACTGTACCATGAATGCTGTGTAAACCTTGTACAAGTTTCCTGTAAAATGTCACGTGGCTTAACTCTCAGCTTCCCCTCCAAAGTTCCTGCTTGGGGCCAGGGATTACAGGTGGCCGATTATTGATTATACTAATTATTTGCGTCTTAAGGCTTTTTCATGAGGGTCCTGCTAATTTGCAATGTTTGGTCAACACCAATGACATTGTTTTCAGTGAAGAGAGGAAACTGGATAACCCGGAGGAATCCGATGACGGACAGAGGGAGAACTCCACACAGGCACCTGTGTCACGAATCAAACTTTTAGCTTCGCACCACTCTGCGCCTGCCCCCCCCCCCCCCCCCCCCCGTGGATGAGGAGCACTTCCTGGAATAACTTTCTCAAACTCCTAGATTGGGGTGACATGATTTTCTCACTTTCCAAAAAAATGCATTCACGGGGTGATGGCTGAGAGCGACTGCTGAATCGTCGAACGTGGACTGTGGAAGAGGTGAATGGTGGAATATGGAGGTGCACAACAATGAGGTGGAGGCTGTCTGGGTGACGAGCGGGAGGTCACATGACAATAGGGGGTGACCTACGTTTGACGGCATTGAGGACACGGCTGTCCAGCGGCTTGCGCGTTGGATCGTTCGTGGAAGAGCGAATCCCAGTGCCACAGCTGTTTGCCAGAGTGGTTCTGCACCCACAGCACGACCACATACCACACATACAACAACATGCAGCACACACAGACCCACACAAGTACACCCCAAACTACACCAAAAACAGGAGTCTATTAGGCTAAATGCAGAACTCGTTTCTGTGTGTGTGAATAGGTTTGTGTTTATGCACACCTCTGTGAATTGATGTGTATGGGCAGCAGTCACCCAGTGGCTACTGCAATGCAATATGAACCCAGCCACTTGGGTTTAATTTCCAGTTACAGACTACATTTGTGGCATTCGGCATCCGAACCCTTTTCTCGAGTGAGTGCCTGGTGCAGTGTAAATGATGTCAGCACTGGTGAGACAAGGTGGCTACACCAAACCTACGTGTGCCATGGTGGTCTTTTGAATAGGTGCTCGCTCACAGCACTGGCCGCTCAAGCCCATGCAGCCACACGGGCACGTGTTTGTGCATTGGTACCGGTCAAAGAATGCTGCAAGCAGACGGCGCAGCAGCACTTTGTGCCGCACGCCGGCACACAAGTGACAGTTCATGAGCTGCCCCCGCGTGATGTAGACGCCCGTTCCTGCACGGCACGAGCAGTCGTGTTGAGCCTTGAGTCCACGAGTGCACAGCAAGTACAGCATGGAGACTGCACCGAGTCTTGCCAGCACAATTAATCTTGACAGGATGCAAGTCACATGCGGACATCGGTGTCGGTCCACTGACCTGATACCAGCTCAAGCTTCTCCCCAGGGTCTCCCTCGGAGTAGAGGTGAGGGTGGCAACGCTGACCGATCTGCGTGAGTAGGTCGGGAGGCAGGGCAGACAGCTCGCAGCGCGAGCCACGGGCCGTGGGCAGAGACTCTACACGCTCGCAAACTACACGCGCGCACAAATTCAGTACACAGGGCAGCCCATACACTTGTTCACGACACAATTCACAGCGGGCATATCTATTCTGACATCACACGAACCCTAATTTTTTTATCCAAATGTTATATGTTTGGCAATACCTACAATCCACTGCCCTAAGCTACCCCAACCGTCTGTCCCCCAACTCCCAGTTCTCTCCCAGCTAGGGAGCCAGACCTACCCGAGTGATAGGCAGCTGACATCATGCTGTACACGTGGCCGTAGTATTCGTCGCCACCCTCTTCGTAAGGCTCCTCTTCTCCCTCCTCCTCGTCCCCCGCCTCCCCGTCTCCTTCCTCCTCCCCCTCCTCTATCCCAAAGGCACTGCCCCCTGCCCCTGCTGGGCTCTCCCGGCCCTGCAGGCAGCTGCCGGCACCAGGGCTGTCCTGGTCGCTGCGCCCTGCATAACCAGAAGCTTCGGCAACAGCAGAGAGAGAGAGTGGGGAGGCCATGTGGGGAGCTCAGCAAGGTGCAGGCAGAGGTTGTTGGGAGGCAGCCGGAGGGTGGCAGGCGCATCTGCCGCTCCATACCTGTGGCCCCGCCATGGCTGTTGCGCTGGACCTTGCTGGCCACGGTGCCTTGCGCCCCGGGGCCCTCGTACAGCCGCTTGTGCGTTGGCACGCACTGAATCACCGCCTGCTGCGCGTCTCCTCCGGCCTCCAATTTCACGCGCGGCAGCAACCCATGTAGCCGGTTGCCCGAGCCCTGCTGTCCGGCCAACGCGTGCGCAGGGCTCGACTGCCCTGCCTGGGGACACGGGGGGCAAAGGGTCCAGTGTAACGGTGGGGCGAGAGGATGCAGAGCAACTTTGCCAGTCCCGGAGACTCCACACTCCCGCAGCTATGCTCCCGACTTGAGACGCTTATGCCAAACAAGGGCCCGAGTTGTATACGTCTTGTCGATACCTAAAGAGTTAATGCCATTTTCTAAATTAAAGATGGCACAGATGTTTAGAGATGAGGAATATCAGCCATCCCATGTTTTTCCCTCGTACTTAAATATCCACAGCCACATCCTTGTGTGTGGGAGCATTCTATGTCGTGACAGTGTTGCTGTGTGTTTTCATCATGGGTGTGAGTTGTGTGAATAGTGTTGCTATGGGTCCACAATGTGTGCAGTCATGTAATGTACTTTGTAATTTTGTCCCCATGGTGGTTGTGTTGCTGTGTTTTTGTAAAGTAATGCTGTGGTATATTGTGTGTGTCGTGTGGGTCCCTTAACCAGATGAAAACTCAAGAGACTAGGCGTCTTATTTGCAAAAATGGGACACCAAAATTGCTAAACACACAAAGTACAGTAACAAGGCAAATAGAAATAAACAAAAACAACATCACATGAGAAATTGGAAACATTGCATGAACATACATCAATGTTAATTAGACTTTCTGGAGTGCGAGTTGGCTCAGAAAGATTATATTTCGACTGATCACAGCACATTACAAAATTAAGTTAAAGAAACATTAAACAGATAAAGGGAGTGACTATTGCACTAATGTGTAAACAGATGAGGGCACAGGAGTCAAATGCAAGATAAGTTATAAAGAATCTCCAGCTCAGCATCAAATTGGGACAAACCAAGAACGTTTGTGAAGTGATGGAATCCAGGTGTTGGGATATTCACAGAGAAAAGTGCCCAGTGTGTTTTCACCGAGTCGATGTCTCAGTGTGAGGTTATGGGTCTTTGCAGAGTACCTGAAGCGATGGAATTCCAGGAAGTTGAGGCATTCTCAGAGGATGAGTGAGAACCATGTGAGCTTTGTGTCCTCGGTGAAGTGCACTTTGGTGTTATGGGGTGTCTTAAGATTGAGGAATTTGGTCCTGAATAAACACTAATTGTGTACTATATGTTACATGAGTGGATGTAAGTAGTGTTGCAGTGGTTGCTTGTGTACTGTGTGCGTGTTATCTGTGTTGTTTTTTAAACAGCTTCTGTTCTGCCAGATAGAGGGGAC